CGACATAGGCCAGGTATCACCGACGTTCCACATACAGCAGATTTCAAGCTGGTTAATAACGAAACCTCGTAATGGATTGAGAGATGTGGGCTGAATGTGGATCAAAATAGTGGTGAACTTGTAGTGCCCATATTCAATTTGACCAAAAAGCTGAAATAATGTAACTAGGAGAAACGTAGGAAAAGGGTCAGCTGTCTGTAGCAAAAATTTTACCGTACAACACATGTAAGACAAACGCGATCGTAAAGATTCAACTGAGAATATTGCTTTGAGCATGCTCTTGCAAGGAAATGACAGCATTAAAAGGTTCACCTGAAAAATATGATCATCCTTGTGTCAACAGAATAAGCGGAGTCCACTGGGTAGCTTTGGCTAGCAACACGAACGAATGGGAACTTCACTAATACCCACTAGAGTAGCTCAAATGGTTGTAGTTGATGTAAAGATGAAAAAACAGACGCTTAAAATGATTTGAAAATTTTCGAGAAGAAAATTTCAATCCTGTCAATGTCAATGCACAAAGAAAGAATCACGATGATTTTCTTTTTTCCATTTTTATTATACGAGATTGCCAGCTATCGCATAGTTGTCTTTTATTTCATCCATACAAGCGTCTTCTAACAGCTTGGTTTTATCTAGTGAATCACGCTCAGAGATAAATAATTATAATTTATGCATGTATTCTTGCAGTATATTATACTTCTCCACCACTAATTAACAAATTAACGGCAATCTTATAGAAAAAAGATAAACATAGCATCAAAATACTTTGGAAAAATAGACACCACAATGCTTAAAGTAAACTATGTCGAATGATGTTGTGGTGTTTCGAATTGTGTTCAGGTAGAGGTGCTCAAGGGTCTTTCAGAACCTGTAAATTTGAGTGCAAGAGTAGGAATGAGTAGTATTAAAAGAACAATGCACTGGATTCGAAACACTTATAGACAATTGGATCACTTACAGAATCACTGCATATTTGGAATAAATTATGGACCGCAGTGTCGTATTACGCCTTCTTATCGAGTGAGTACTGACTCGAATAACTTTTACTTCTGCGTCGATTTGTTGAAGGCGAAAATTGCACGCACCTACCAGTTGACACGACGATGTAGCCAATTGGGGAGTAGCAAAGCCGATAAACAGCACCCCACCAACGAACACCGGCCCCCACTACTAGAGACGGACGACCTTAAGGAAGGCGATTCGCTTAGTGTGTTGGCATGTTGCCAACAACCACTTCCTCTCCGATATTCTTCCAGTCCATTAACATTAATTAAAACATTCTCAACCCCTCGTTTTAAATGTAAAGACACGGAATGCAGTATTATTATTGTTGGTCACCCTGTGATTTCTCCTCGCCTCTTTCACAAAGAGTGAGAACTCGTGTGCTTATTCATGAGGTCACTTATTCGTGCTATTAAAAAGATCCACATAGCAGCACCGAAACGAGAAACTATCACTGAATGTTCATATCTTTCCGTGAAGAGCATAAAAAACCAAATTATTCGGCTGTGATCATTTTCTGAGTGATAAGCCATGTATTTCACTCTCTTAGTAACATCGTAGAGATTACTGGACGTGTATGTGGTCCAAACAATGCGTTGTACGTTCTGGCCACGTGTCACGGCAGTGCTTTATTCCCAGTAGAAAAGTCTCATACCAATTTGACGACTGCCGGCTGAAGAAGGGTTTGTTAGCTCGAGGCACGGAATCAAATTCATGATATAAGAGTGTATTGCAGAGCACTTCTAATCACTGCGCTGCACACATGCTTTCTCTTGTGCTCAACGATTGGAATTCGGAGGTAAAAGTGCTCCTATAACGTTGAATGAGTACACTGAATATTAACATAGACAGGAGAGTTCTAAAGTTTTTAAGGTTGATGAAACGGAAAAGTCGGTAACGCCACGATGTCATGAGACATTGCGCAAATATGTGCCACACAAGAGAAACAATGCGTTTCTGGTCTGATGACAATTTGATCAGAAAACTGCACGATAAAGTAGTTATTTTAATGTTTATTTGAGCATGAACGATCCACTACTACACAACAGCAAGATTTCTGGTGAAAGAAACAATAACCGAGTTTTTAAAGCTTATTAACAGCTTTTTTCTTTTTTTATTTAAGGAAACTAACGCTTCGTCGAGTAAGTGTGGCGCAGAGGTCGGAGGCGCCCTGGAACAAACACATGGCACCGATCCCAGCCTACGTGGCCTACCAAGCCTTCTATCCTTCCGAGGTTGGCAAATTGGTGCCAAACTTGTCCGCGAGGATAGCAGCACTAGCTCGATACATCAGTACGCCACCGCGAGTCGTTGTAAAAGCCAGACATGCATTCAGTCACCTCCAAACGATGCTTAATGAACTCGAATACAAGGCGCATTCCTAAGGGATTGATCAACGCCGAGAGCTTTACCCTTTCAAAGTCTCGTCAACAAACACAATTAAGGTGAGCAACCCACAACCCGTGAGATGCAGCATCCTGGAAAAAAAACCTTTGTTGCAAAATATCTAATAGGTGGCGGATTGCACAGTAGTAATGATGACGATCGTTGCGAGCACGATGCTGGACCTATACCTCCTCAGGCTCATCAAGCCTGTTATCTTTCCGAAGTGGGAAAACCGGTACCGGACTTTTCCGGGAAAAAATCATTTTGTGTAATCCAATTGGAAACGCCCTAACTCGGCAAGCTCAGGACCCCAGTGAAAATCGATTTGTCTAGCGTTCAACGACATCCAAGATGAAAGGAAAAATCCTCAAAGAGCGGTCGAAACCACACGTAAAAATTGGAAGACCTTAGTGGATGACAGAAGCAACGAAGTATCCATACAATATGTGTAAAAGATCGGTCGTATATTAAAATAAAAATTGAAAAATAAGCGCTTTTGAACCCCGGACTTTACATTTTTTTGATTTGTGTTCGGAGTGAATTCGAGGCTACCGCTTTGAAATTTCTATCAGAGTTTTCAGAAAATCGATGAGCTTGTTTAGAAAGATGGTTTTCTCTCTTTCATTGCAAGAGAAACTTGAAGAAGAGTTTGTGAACCTTGGGTTTTCTTAGTATTTCACTAGTAATTCGATGTAGTTACTTACTATCTTCAATGTCGAAGAATGCTGATTGATCAGTTCTCTCTACAGAATTAATCATTTTGAACCATTTCGAAATCTGAACGCAGATAAAGAATTTTCTGTGCAAGCATAACACGTCTGCATCCCGCAATTTACTTCGCGGAATGCAACTTCCTTCATTTCTAGTAAGTAAACGTTAATTTTTCCCGAATGCGTGCAACTCGACAATGTGTAATCTGTGAATCACAACATAATTTTTGCACTTCTTCCATGTTGAGTACCACTACACAATAGATTTTCCTCGTTTATAGTCGTGCCAGGAACAAAATCATTGAGGCAAGCTGAAATGTGCACTTTCAAAAAGAACGATCAGACTGGAAAAATGCTGCCAGTACGTTTCCGTTATTCAGAAACCATCAAACTACTTCACTGATTGGCCGTACTCCTGTGACGAATCCGGAGTGTCTAACTGTGATGCACAGAAGTTCGTCTTCCGGCAAGATTACCAAAACTGAAGAAATGCACAGTAGTTACGTCTGGTAGTTGGACAAAAATGTAATAAATGCGAGGAATAGCCGTCATATTAGGAAAAGGAAAAAACCTAGTCGTCAGGTAGTATACTTTTCTCCAATCCACCGGACCCAAAGATTAGCTGTGCTGAAAGGTGGAATACTGTGTAGCACGAGATCATCGAGGGTCCTAGAGTAAATCTAAACGTTGCTTAACTAACAGCAGTTCGATAGGAATGTGCTGGTGGTCGAGCTGTTCTTCATGAAGACAAATCATCAAACTAGAGTCAGCATTCTGGGTGATGTCTGACTCTGGTGACTCTTACCACTCTTCTGCTGTAATATCTGAATATAAATCAAGCAAATATACATTAATGCAGCACAGAAATAATTTTAAGACTAACTATGAACCGAGGTTCATGAAAGAATATGACCAATTGTTAAATTCTACTGTTGTTTTAAAAGCAATCTTTCATTAACCTTCATTTTGTTGTATGACACGTCATTTTGCGTATGTATTAGACTGCTGGATGAGAACTGTGGTCTTCGTCATGAATGAAATGTAGTACTGGCTAAGGCGTTTCCACTTGGATTGCCCGGGTTCAAATTTTTCAATAGAATTCTGGAGCCAATTTCGTGACTCGGAGAGGCCAGAGGTTTCGTGTGCCTAGGGCGGGTTTGAAACAGCATCATACCCTTAATGAACAGCATCAATACTACCGTGATATCCGACCAGTAACAGTATTTTTATGCCTTCCTTTCTTCAACCGACCGGTCACTTTTTGCTGCATCCTAAAAAAAATCCTTGCCCGTTCCTTGATGTCTTTACAGTCACATGATAGGCGACACATCGTTTATTCGAAGAAAACAAGTGATGTAGTCAACATCTTACAGATATTCTTAGAACTCCATGAAAGAAAACGAACCTCTTTCGAAATCTTCAATAACTCCTTCTATAAGCAGCCAACCCCAAAGCTTCTTGCATTCATCGTAAGACAATTTTCTGTGGTCGCTTTTGAACTCTCATAAGAAAGATCATTACTGCATTACTGGAACGTCCAAACCTATCACGGCTTCCCGCTCTTAAGTATAATATGAATTTTGTTCTTTAGAAAAAATCCGTTTCTGCTATCACTATTCTATTTAACCTGCAAACCGCTTATTCGCGCTGCACTTTTTTGTATTATTTTTTTGTTTTCACATTCAACAATTTAAATAACAGAAAAAAGATAAGTATTCATTCCGGTGCGAATAATCTGAAGGTACAACTGCTCTATATACAAATAGAATGGAGAAGATCATAGAACCCGTCAGTAGAGAACCGTATTTTATACATGAACTTCTAATAAAATGCAGTGTTAAACTCCAATTGAACTAAAGCCAAGTGATCTACTTTCATGAACCGTAACAAGTAAACCGTTTATCGGAACTTCCTATAGTAATTGTATCCCTCCTTATTGGCGATATTGCCATTGTACACAGAAATCCTGGAACGTCCCAAAATTCTGGAAAGTGATGGACGTTCATGAAGTGGATATGCGACACCATTTTCATCAAACGTCAACTCATTCGAAGAATCATAGGTTCGTGGCCAAATCTAAATGAATGACTATAAATCCAGAACTAATCAAGATTTATTGTTTGCTCTCCGAAAACAACACCATAGCTGTCATACTACCAGTTCGGAGCGGGTAAGCTGACGGACATCACTAATACACACAAAATATCCAATGATATAGATACTGAAATAGGAATGAACAACAACTATAACAGTAACTCACCAATTCACCAGCCACGGAACCTATTGGGCGAATCAGATTGAAAGCAAATGTATCATCGACATTACGTTCTTTCTCCAAAAGTCGCTTGTAAATATCAACGGCCGTAATTGACCAGCAATCTAAAATTCCATGAACGATGGGAATTTCATAAGGTAGAGATTAGAAAAGCATCGTTGAACAATAATTAAGGGGTACGCATCGCTTTTAGATAATGAACAACGTAAGACTACAATGAATCCGACACCTCCGTGAATGTTGAGACGTCAAACATAACTGGTCTTTTCTCTAGTACATGAAGATTATTGTGACTATATTTTGGCGAAATTTCTGTCCAAGGTTCGTAACATGCTCTATAACACCCGACACTTTTAAAATTATTCAAAATATCTCATCTCGCAAGAGCAAAAATCTAGGAAGCCAGTAGTAAGTTGATTAGGTTCAGAAGTTCTTAGTAAGTCGGTTTACATATTGTATGGTACACACATGGTGGTGCCCTCTTCAGCAAGAAATTGCTACATGTCCTTCGATAAACGTACCTTGTATGAAGAATACGATTACGATAGTAACAAATAGATGTCTGGAATAAGTTAGCATTATAGCTGTATTCAACACTTTGTCAGAGGTTAGTTAGATACGCCTACTTCATTTGCCTTTATAAACTGGCTTTGAAAAACAGGATCGTCAGACGAGTACGTCACGACCTTATGGTCTATGGAAACATCACAACTCTTGCCTTTCACTTACTATCTACATGCACTTCCTATACGAATGAATTTCTACAACGTTACTCAACGTTGAAGTTGTCAATTTTTCAAAACTGCCGGGTAAAATGACACAAAATCGTTACTTAAAAAATGAAAAGAAGAGTGTAAACTAAGTTGTGTATCCTCGGGGCTAGCAAATTGGTATCAGACTTGTCTTGGAAGGTAAGAGCAACAAGCTTGTGCAACAGCAAGTCTTTGTAAATTATCTTATAACCCAAATATGTATCCAGTCACCTCAAAGCAATTACGAATGGAGTTGAATTTATGACCCAGGAGAATGATTAAAGCCGAACGCCTTATTTTTTTTTTTTTGCTATCTCATCTTTAACTTAGATAGATGAATAGATTACAAAGAATCCAGATGGATCTCAGAATGATATTTGTGTTGACTGGCAGTTATGGTCGTTTGAAAGGTTTGCTCTGATTCCGGTACCAAAGCCCGTGTTAGTAGGCCGTTCCCAAGACATCACCGCTTGCCAACTTGCGATAATGTTGCAGCGAGGATGCCAGTGATTCCTGGCGCTTGTGTATGTTACTTCTGTGATCGACAAGCATCTTTGATTTTCACGTGTTTGATCTTTCGTGTTTTGATGGCAAGTGATAAGGAAACGTCACATCGACGAACAAATCAGAAAATTGTAAACAGAAACCGCGTCGAAGCTACATATTACCAATTTGCCAACAATCGCAACGAAATACTTAGACATACGAAAGTGAGAATGCTATGTAAAAATTTTTTCAAATTTTCCGCTATTAGTGATATTTGGCGACAAAACAGACTAAGAACTTCTTCAGACAGCAAGAAGAAACTGAAACGGCCAAATAAAATCAAAATATCTAATCTAAAAGCCAAGTAACAGATTGCATCGATGAAATATCTCGTAAGCATTCTAATCATGTACACCTAAATAATAATGACAAATACACGATGAATGAAGGTGACTATACGATAAATGATGCATAGCAGCTTATATATGTAACAAGAAAAGCTGGAGCCGATTTTAAAACAATGCCGGATGAGATCTAAGAAGGCTTCCTTTTTTCAATGATGCTGAAATATTTGCAAAACTCGGCACCTTAGGTGTCTGCGGTAGGGAACGAACGACACCACACCATGCGGGTCCTTCGTTTCGCCTGTCTCTCAGCTATTTCTATCGATCTTTTTGCCACAGCAATCACCCGTCAGCGGGGTTGATCTGGGGAGCGCAAATCGGCATAGAACCCAGTTAAGGTGAGCATTTAGCTATAATCACATTCTTAAGAGTAAAAGAGTAGGGAGTAAATAAAACGGTTAAGCTTCCTTTCTTCGTTGTGCTTTTTTAGAGTAACAACATGATTTCGCAAATGCGACATGAAGTCTACAGGAACCCTGAAACCATTGATGAAGCGCTGGTTGAAATCCGAAAAAGTAGGAGGCTGGGTGGTCTTGTAATTCACTGTTTTCTTGATGAGTAAACACCACGTTGTTAGCTTGCGCCCTCTTCAGAACGTTGAATGGTCAACTTTAGCGCGATCTACTCAGCCAGAAGATTGCACAACCGCAAAAGAAAAATTCGAAACCTGCAGTGCAGTAGCAGTGGAAAGAGCTTCTTGAGAAAACCGCCACCTTCTACGAGTCTTCCATTTATGGATGGAGACAAGCCACGCAGAATTTGCATGGTCGGATAATATCACAGTCCTAGGTTAAAAATCGGTTTGAGACACTGTGTAATATCACACGTGATAACAATGCATTCTTCCCTGAAACCCATTTTTGGTTCTTGAAATCTGTTCAAAATGTCTCGAGAGCTTTACGGGCGGAAGCTGCAGATCTCTATGAGGAACTGGTGGCTTATACTTTAAAATCCCCCCGTTACGCTCTTGTGTACGATGCTTGCTTAGTGAAGTGTTCTGTTTGGCCTTAAGTTTCTCAACTGGTGTCCTTTCATGAATGATCGACCTATTTCGCCAACGCACCCTCTCTACCTTTAGTGCAAATTATCCAATGCTGTTTTATACAGCCACGGATCTCCCTCATTTGATGGATATCGAGCTGGTTAGTCGCGAGGCTACCTGGGGCGTCCCAAGTTGGCGGATAGGAGGTTAATCGCGGACCAAAAGCGGGCATTGTTTCCCTGAGGCGCAGGTGGACCCAGGAAATAGACTCCGTGTTTTTGTACCACTGATTTGGCACATACTTTCTGTATTTGCAAGGCGTATTCATGCATGCGTGTGTGGGTGCGTTCTTGCTTGTGCGAATTGTATTCTACGAGTCAAGACCAAAAGAATGCAATCAAGTGACTGGGAGGTATGTGGGAGGCGGTTAGGAGTCGCCTCCAACAAATAAGCTCCATGCCCACTCTGCGAGAGCCTGGCAAGCTATCCGTGAGTAAGCCTAGCCCCCACGCTCAGAGCCCAGCAAGCTATACGTGGCTATCAAATATGCTAAGCACAATAAAAAGCACGGGCCTCATTCCACTGAACCCGGAAGAGCCCCCAATTTCGCAGCGATGGGAAGGACGAGCACGGAGAGGCTGCCAAAATCTCAGGACCAATAGAAGCTTCCTGGATTTCAAGAAACTATGGTGAAGATCTGTACCTACAATGCACGTACACTTGTATCCGAATCCTCGATAGAAGACTTGCTCATGCAAGCAAAAAGGATAAGGTACGACGTCATCGGCCTGACCGAGTCAAGGACACGCCAGCCTTTCAACGCCTTCTATGACACCGGAGAAGAACTGTTCTTTGAAACATGCGACCAAAGAGGGGTTCTCGTCAACACCAGTTTGTCCATGAACATCGATTCATTCGAACAACTTACAGCACGAATCGGGCGTTTATGATTGAAAAGACGTGGATCAATTCCGCTTTTGACAATCTTCGTCTTCTACGCCCCGACGTCAAACTATAACGAAGAAGAAGTCGAAGCGTTCTATATGGACATGTAGTAGTTCTACAGAGAAGACCGTACATTCGTCAAGGAGACTTCAACACCAGGATTGGACTAAGAAAAACGTCTGAAGAACGTTACATTGGAACCCACGGATTAGAACGGATCGAACAGAGTGGGCGGCTATCTCAGTTTATCACGACGACCAAGACAATCCATGGTAACTCGCAATTCCAGAAGCCCCACCCTCAGTGCTGGACGTGCGAGTCTCCCAATAGAGAGTACTATAATGAAATACACCATATCATAGTAAACAGAAGGTTTTGCCTAACCGATTTTGCTGTTGCCCAAAATTCTACACGGGATCAGACCATCATCTCCTTCGTGCAAGATTCTATTTCTCGCAAAAAGGAGAAAACGCCGCAAAATTCCAAAACCGAAGTTCCGGAACCACCGTAAACTGGGATTTATTCAATTCATTAGTCGGCTGTTGGGAAGATGCTGCTGTCGATAACATCGACGAGGAATGCAATCGGCTCATTCAACATCTTCACGTTAGAAAAAAGATAAAAGCTGAGAGTTCGAAAGTCGCCAAAAGACGTTTGCTTCCAGAAACACTTGAGCTAATGCGCCAGCGTGGAATCGAACGAGCTGCAAGCAACCGCGAACTAAGTTATTTTCAAATGACGGAAGGTGGGCGTGGCAAATGTCCGAACTTGCAAAACAGTGTAGACAGGCGATAAAGGAAGATCTTAAAGAGAGAAGAGCAGCGGTGATGGTCGAAGTTGCAGATACTGGGAAAAGCATTCGCAAAGCCCATCGAAGCTTCGCCAATTACAATGCCAAGATGGTTGCACTCCTACGCCCAAACGGAACAATTACAGCGCCCAGAAAGGCAATGGAGAAAATCATTCACAAATACTACTCAGATCCCTCCGATAGCCACGCCCACCTTCCGTCATATGAAATAAAGCAGGATGGATATATTGTGCCACCGGTTCTCCCTACTACATGCCATATCATCGGTGAAAAACCGGACGGCACCAGGTCCGGAGAGGATAAGACCAGAACACCTGAAAAACCTTCCGCCAGTCCTAGTAAACACACTGGCTCGGCTCTCCACACGTTGCCTGTCTGAATCCAATGTCTCTACTCAGTGGAAAACCAGCAACACCACGTTATTGTTCAAGAAGGGTAACCTACACGATATCGGTAACTATCGCTCAGTCTGCTTACTGTCTGTCGTCTACAAACTGTTCACTCAAGTCATCCTAAACAGGTTTGACAGAACACTAGACGAAGGACAGCCATGTGAGCAAGCAGGGTTTCCAAAAGTATTTAGTACGATGGACCACATCCACACGGTAACGCGGCTCATTGAAGTATCGCGAAAGTATTAAATACCGCTCTGTCTTACTTTCATCGATTTACAGAAGGCCTTTGATTCAGCTGAGATAGAAGCACTCTTGGAAGCCCTTGATAGTCAAGCAGTCCCTACTCAGCACATAAGGATTCTTCGTGAGCTGTACAAAAATTTTACAACCAAGGTATCACCATTCTACAACGATATTAAAATTGACGTCAAAACAGGGGTTAGGCAAGGCGGTACCATTTCGCCAAAATTATTCACCGCCACGCTCGAGAACGTCATGCGAACATTGGAGTGGAACACCATGGGAGTGAAAATCGATGGTAGGCAATTATACCATCTTGTCTTTGCTGATGACATCGTCCTTCTAACACCAAACACTTGCCAAGTGGAAGGTGTGCTTGCCGACTTTGAACGAGCCTGTGGAAATATTGGTCTTCGACTAAATCTCACAAAAACGATGTTCATGATGAACGGATAGGTTTAGTATGCCCCATTCACGTTCAACGGAACGAATATCTCCGAATGCTCCAGTTATATTTATTTAGGTCGGAAAATTAGTACGATAAACGACCTAGCTCCAAAGCTGAGCAGAGGGAAACGAGCGACTTGGAGAGCTTTCAAGAACATCGAGGATGTGGTGAAGAGAACAAAGAATACCTGACTCCGTGCCCCCCTTTTCGACTCAACGGTACTTCCTGCCCTAACGTATGCGTCCGAAACATGGTCGCTTCGTAAGCAGGATGAAAGATCATTTAGCGTTATCGAACGCGCAGTCGAAAAGACGATGCCAGGCGGATCCCGTTTCACACAAGTAAGGGATGGGATCCGAAGCTCCGATCTGCGTCAACGATCAAAAATCAAAGATGGCGTTCTGTACGCCAAACAGTCGAAGATAAGGTGGGCCGGACACGTTCTGGGTATGAATGACAACTGATGGACATGACCCGTTAGTGACTGGACTTTTTGGGATGTCAAACGTACTGCAGGAAGGCCACCGACCCGATGGTCAGAGTTCTTTACAGAGAGCCTTGAAGAAAGATATGATGCACGACAAGTCTCTAGAGCGAGCAGAACCAACTGGGTTACCCTTGCACGCCACAGGGAAAATGGAAGATTTACGGGCGCACGCTCGAGTGACTCGACAATCAACGGAACTGCAGGTGATACAGGTGAACACAGCATAGTTGTGGTTGTATTTTACATGGTCCGCTGCTGCGTAAACTTATAGTAGGCAGCAAATAAAAGGATGCAATACTTTCAGTGGTCGTCGACCAAGTATCCGTCCTATAAGTATTCTATACGAAATGTATCGAAGGTGCCCCGCAAAATACAGCTTACTCTTTTTCCCTTTTCCGTAGAAGAAGAGTTCGACATGCCAACAGCTTATTAACAAAACTGTTTACTGCCACATAGCAACGGGTGATGAAGTTATTCGTTTGGGACGAGAAAAGCATACGCAGTGATGGAAAATTCCAATCACATCTTCGTTATGAAGAACTTATAATGTGGAAATGAAAATATCAAACTGAATGCTTTCTTGATCACGGAGACCAACTTGTACGTGGTCTTGACTTACCTTAAGCGTTCAATCAACGTGTGGAACAAGATGAAGAAAACAAAATATCAAACTGAATGCTTTCTTGATCACGGAGACCAACTTGTACGTGGTCTTGACTTACCTTAAGCGTTCAATCAACGTGTGGAACAAGATGAAGAAAACTAAGACAGGAGAACTAGAGCAGTTTGAGCAGCATGTTGCACTTTCAAGGAAGATACTCACCAACCAGCAGATATAGAGAGGCTTTTTATATCATAAGAAAAATGGTTGGAATATGGATGTGGAATGAAAAAAGCAGCTGTACTTTGGGCCACGTGAGAATGCCATCAAGCCCATGGACGACTGCCTACACGATGGGCGAAGTTATACTTAACTAAAATCAACCCACTCCAGCTACACCTGCAAGTATTTCATAGATCACACTATGAGACGCCTACTTGTCGGCATGCTCGAATCAAGGCACCACCGTAGACGCCGAGTGCGTTGCAAAGAAACGAATGGAAAATCTGCTGGGGTCTGCACTATTCATGAAGGCAGGCCGTCTATGTATGGAGTAGGAAACGAAACTTTGTTTTTTAATTACAGTGTGAGATATGGGTATCGTAGACGAGTCCAGTATTCGACTAAAGCGGTTGCAAGAGCTGAACAAATGATGCGCTTGGCAAGAAATACTCTTGAAGGAACCACTGCGGACGAGGATCCTGCCAACATTCAGAGGTTGATAAGAAGGGTTATCGAAACAATCAGCAATAGCGGACAATCTCGCGCTGAGGTTGCTTTGCACGATAATGACAACGATCTCAAAGAACCAGACTAATAGACTCAGCAGAAAAGCAAGAAGGACAAGAAAAAGGAAGGGGAGGAAAAACGACCAACGCAAAGCCAACCATCTTCACGTGGTCGAGGTCGTTTTAGTGATCGCGGGAAAAGTGGACGTGGTCGTGGCGATGGAACAGCACCCTCTCGTTGGGATTTTCGTCTTATTTCCAAAACTGCTCGCAAAAGTGGAACTATTGCAAGTTCAGGAGGCATACGTCTTTTCCAGTCGAAGTTATTAGCGGATGATTTGGTAGCAAAATCTGCTGACAATGATTCCATCGACCGTGCTAACTGGTTGAAAAAGTTGTCCAGTAGCATTTTATCGCACGGCTGATCATTCAAGTACTTGTCAATTCGAATCTATCTGTGACAGTGTCTCAGTCTTCCACCGCACCGCCAGCACCTATTTTATTTGGTGCTGTTGCAGCTACCGCTGCCAAGAAGGACCTAAATCGGCAACAAGCTCACTTAACAAATTTCGTTACGACTAACGAGCAAACAGCTACAGCGCTTACGGATTTTCACAGTGATGGTATGGTTAACGGTAAATCGCCAGCTATTGATCACAATCAGCAAAAAACGTGTTTTATAATGAACCACCTTTGCACATCCTGTCAATCACAACGATAGTGCTGTGGGAATCGCATCAACATCAGGTGCGGATGATGGGGAAGCCCTGCTAACAACTCCATCATTTCCTTCTGCTATTCCAACAAACTGGACAAGCCAATTAAAGAAGGTCTAGGTATTGCCATAACTAGACGAGACTGTCAACAACAGTATATCCGCTCAGTCATTGGCTTCCACCCCTGTTGGTGTCGAGTTTGTGACAGTAACAATCCTAACAGAGCTCTCCGACTATCACTTTGGTTTCGTTGATAAACTACAAAGGTGCAGAAATTGCCACGTCAAGGTCATCGATGGCAAATTCATCCTCTAATGCTTTGTTTACTGCTGGTCAGCCTTCTACAAATTAATTTTTATTTAATGCCTACTCTCGGTCTTTTGGTAACTTTTAAACTCTCTGCTCTCACAGAGATAACGTGAAGATGTTGAGTGAGCCGATCATATTCTTCGTCAATATTGTCAGAACAACGTCTTTTTAGCAACTATAGGGGGGGGGGGGTTTAAGACCTTGTTTTTACTTTAATTTAACTAGACCTTGGGTCCTAACGTGACGTTCTTCTTGATCCAATCCTAGTGTTCCAATCTCTAACGATGACCCTAGGAAATGTATGGTCTTTTCTGTCAAACTTTTCCAAATTTGTACAAACGATCTTTCACCACTTAGGCAGCTTAGAGTGGCCCTGAGATTTTAGCAGCCTCTCCGTACTCATCCTACCCAACGCTGCCGAATCTGAGGTTCTTTGTTTAGGTACCCATGCATACCTAAGCTCTTTCACAGCTCTGAAAATAGAGGCTAGGTATACTCAAGGAGAGCTTGCCGATCTCTTCCAGAGTGGAAGTGATGCTTACTCGATCGAGGCGCATCCTAATCGCCTCCCATATACTCAACTGTCACTTGATTGCAGGCTTTTGCCTGAATTGTGTTGTAGAATCCACATGAACGAGAACATAAAAGTGTATGCATTCATCAACACGCCTCAAAAATAAAAAGAGTATATGCCAAATCAGTGCTGCAGAAACAGGGAGTCCATCTCCTGGGCCCACCTGCCTCTCAGAGGAGCAAAGGCGCTTTTGGTCTGCGATTAATCTCTTATCTGCACCTGGAAGCGCATCACGTAGCCTCGCGACTAACCGGCTCGAAATCCCTCAAATGAGGGAGGTTTGTGGCTTGAATCTGCCAATTGCGGCCATAGCTTTCAAAAATAGGTATACATTGTGACGTGAGATTCAGCATTTTCGAAAGGCCCGACCATCCTAGGTCTCGAAAACTCAGCGATATTTTTATTCGGACTTGACCTGACAAACCGGAAGGAAGACTTAAAAAACGACCTGCTTTTTGAGTGACCGTTGTAAACTAAATGGGTGAGGTTTTCGTTATAAAATCAACACTACAAGCTCAGAAATTTCTTACAGTACCATTCTTTGGATAGCAGTTTAAAACGCAAAGCTTATCGCCATTCTATGTCTCACGCTGTCTAACAGACATCTGTGGCTTAGTGTTTACTTCTAAATGTGCTAGGTACCTAAGAGAGCAGATTTTTTTCCAGATCTACTAAAAGCTGCTAACAAGATATATGTCTCAGCGACACTGACACACTGCAGTTTAAGTAGAGGAACAGCTAGGTCTTGGCGTTCTACTTCCGTGGTTAAGAAAACTCAGTTTTTTCTTTAATGGAAACAGAAAACTAAAGAGTTCCCGCTTGATTGGGATCCTTTCTTTTCTAGGACAACGATATCTGCGTGAAACAATGGCAAAGCTAGTCATCCGGCTTAAGAGTAACCACAAGTGGAGAATAAACTGCTGCCGGATTTTCTTTCTCGTACTCACCAACTTATTCTAAAGTCTCTACTCCAAGTACAGCTTATATTTACTACTTACATAGTAAGAAACTATTGGAAAAACAACAATAGTAAACAAGTTTTCTTCGTGGTACTTTGTGTTCTGCATATTGAGCCATTATACAAAGATATTCTTTATATATATATATATATATATATATATATATATATATATATCGGCAGGCAATTATGTGTGATACAATCACAGTGGTGCTGAGTTATTTGCAAGACCCCGGAGCCCAGGTATCTGAAGTGGGGAACAAACGCACTATTACCTTTTCCAGAGGCTAACGCGTTCACGAGCACTCAATGCGAGTTTTTCTTTTAGCCTGTCTCTCAATTAGTTTTCGATCGTTCAGTGCCATCAGCAATCACTCGTCAACGGGATTGATCTGGGGAATCAAATTGGCAATGAACCACGTTAAGATGGGGATGCAGCCGAAATCATAATATTAACATTGAAATTTGCTGACTAAAAGAAACCTTAGAAAATAGAAAAGTAGTTGAGAAAAAGACGAAGCGAAGGATATGCATGGTGTGGTGGTGAACACGTTAGCCCCCGGGAAGAGTAATGGCGCGTTCGTTCCCCACCGCAGACACATGCGGTCCGGTGTTTTGCAAATATCTCAGCACCGTTGTGCCTATAGCGAAAATTTTTAAAACAGCATCATCTAAGACTGTTCAATTTCCTGATGTTCTCTGAAATGAATCACGATCACTGTAAAAAACAAACATTTTTCTGATTCCAAAACTTTTCATTTTCCTGGAGCCTCCGATTCTTTTAGTTCTTCAAAAGTCATCATTTGCCAGCCAACAATTATGTCTTTTCTGGAATCCCAACGTTTCCTTGCATTATTCTACCATCCGTGGGGTTCTGGGTGAAATATCGAATTCCCAGAAAATTACGCTCTAGGAAGAAAATCGAGCTGTAGAGTTTGACATCAATAAACATCTCTATCGTCCCATGCAGACCACATGATAGAGACAGTAACCATTACGAAAATGTAGAGGTTGCAGCAGACACCTTTATAACCTGTGGTCGGTTTGTCATTTAATGACTCAATCCGCCACCAACAAAATGGTCTCGTCTCACCTTAAGGACCTAATGTAGATCTGCTTGCTATAGGAATCTAGAGACCATTATAGATTTCCTACGAGTCATTTCATTTTTACATGTCTGCTGGTATGCCTAACATGATTTGCTTGTGAGCCCTTAAGTGGTACACCACTCACCTAGCTTACTACCACCGTTATCATATGAAAAAATCGAGTTTCTGTACTCGTAGTCTTGTCAGCAGATTAACCTACCGTTGTAACTGACAGTTTGATGCAAAAAGAATATAAACTTTCCATGATGACGATAACTCATTAATGAGGCGCAACAGACGAATCTTGTGACCATTTTATATTCAAATATATAAGCGTTCACATAGAATTAACATCTCCTTCGGTTCATCCAACAGAAACGGTGATATGCATAGTTTGCAACAAAAATACACCATGAAGAGTAATTAAAACAGGCCATATAAAGCTACAATGAGCAAAAGCAACAAAGCCAAATAGACACACAGCCCAAAAATAGTCCATTGAGGACGACAGTCTGGCGTATTCCGTCTAGTCCTTCTAACGTGTTAGGTAACATCGAGCAGTTCTTAAGACAGTATAGCTTTACGGTCCTGTTTTTCATTTTGTACGGTGGTCTGCAGAACTTTTACAATAAAATCCCTGCTAAGTTAGCGATTTCCTTATGTGTGCTGCACCATGCTTTAAAAATACTCTTACTTGCTACTTGAACGGCCCAACTTCACTGGTTGTGAAGGCCCCAGCATAATCTCCGTTTTACACAATTTTTCTGTTTACCCACTTCGTTTCCGTGTAGTCCCGAGGCCCGCCCAGCCGAAGTCTGCCCCAGGTCGTCACCACCACAACCAGTTGCCGCTCTTGTGGACCACAGGGAGATATTCCACCATGCGACTAGTTTGGTGCCAGGGCGGCAGTGGATCTCGGTATTTACTCTTAGCTGGCTCTCTGATAGCTACTCCGAAATCTCCTTCAGTTTGGGAGACCTTGCCAGGGAGATGAATCCCCCCGTTGTACATCGCAGCCCGACACCCAGGAACATCTCCCAGCCATGATGAGAGGGTATACCTCTGGAAGTAAAGTAGTGTCAAATTAGGAAAAATTTACATGTAGTAAGTGGGATATGCATGGAAACCACTAGGTAAACCACCAGTGAATGCTTTACGTCTAACAAGCTTCCCAATCTCATTTGTAGCAATAACCTTATTCAGACCACGCTATCTCGTACGTACACTGTTGTCTTCATGGAGATCCGGACCAACAATCGAATAAACACTGCAGTGCCTGTACTGAGATTAGTGGGTTCCGGAATTTTTTCTTCCGAACAATGTGTATTCATTCGACCGCTAATCGAAAGCAGATTAAAGTGGGAAGAAGTATGGTAGCAGAAAAAAAAACCTTCTCGACACTTAATGTTTTACGAAAAATATTTTTATTGCAGTTGCTAGTAGGAAATAGGCCTTCGAGTCAGTTCTCGGCAACGAATAAAAACTAGGTTTAAGCAGAACGCTCGAGTTCATAGGAAGACGCCACGCGGAAATTTCCGTAATCGTTACAGAGCAATACATCAAACTCGGGCAATTAAACCGCATATATACGTAAGTGCAACACCAGTACAACAGGAATAACGACAAAAAAATACTGGCAAAAGAGCAAGGCAAGGTCAAGATTTTGAGGCGCTATAACTACTAATGAAGTGAGGCTAATAACGGCACAATAGTTAAGGATACTACTACAACATTATAACATTAATAAAATGATAATAGCAGCTTGATAACAATGACAACTAAGAGATGCAGAGAGGCCGTGCATTACGCTAAGCTAGAGACCACATCTACATCGGTTAAGTGTACTTTGACTTTGATCGATGAGGATAGCAAGTTACCTAGACATCGGTATGTATGTGATTACGAACGAGATGGATCATTTGCGGAATACAGTCAGGCGGCTGGCCTTAGACAACGAGATATCTGCAGCGTAAAGTTAGCATCGACGGGTAACACCATTGTGTCAGAGCTAACTTGGGCCATAAAGAGAGTGAGTGAGAACTGATTAACCGACTGTAGCGGCATAAAAGATACACAGCATAAGTTGGCCGGTCAGCGGCCTTGTATGCATGAGGTGCATTGTGGGAGGTACAAGCCACCGATGGCGTAACAGGCAGAACGCATTTGAGAATAGTCGCCGCTACTGGCAACGCGCAGCAGATCAGTTGATAAACAATGAATATCGACATGTGGATGACGATGGCGATGAGGATTAGGTTGCACCGGGCTGGTCGGAAGCGTGACATAGTAACGGTAATGCTAAGTTAATGTACAATTCGCAATTGTCATTTAGTAATTATGAAATAAAGTTAACGTACAATTCGGAAATGTGATGTAATAACGGTAGAGTGAAGTTAATATACAATAACCACATCCAATACAAGTTTACAAATACGGTATCCTACATAATTGACACATCTAGAGGGCGAACTAGGGCGTCAGTTCACGTGGCTATTTATATACTTGTGGAGAAGGCGATATTTGGCACAAGACCAGGTTCTTTGCCGAACCATTCGTCGGCTACTGTTTCCAAATCCTCTCAAAACCAGAGAACAGCTGGAGGAAGACGGCTTTCGCAAACATCCCAATTCCCTTCATGTTATGTACGAATGTGACTTTTGGATAGTAATAACAAACAACAAGCTCCGACTACAAAAATAGGTTTGCATAACAAGACTGTTTACAGCGATCAAAGTTCCTTAGGATTGGTTGGTAATATTTACGTACTAAGACATTTGCCAGGCGGCTTGAGAAACAGTGGATATGTTCTTATAAACTGATCTTCTTAAGCTGACGCGAGGTTGGTACAGATCTTCGTTGCCTTTGTCGCTGTTTTTGATGTTATTGATCGATGGCTGACGTTTCGGCGACTTCGCCCACACGTAACATCACGTCTCTGTGGAAGGCGAAGTTGCCGAAACGTCAGCCATCGATCAATAACATCAAAAACAACAACGACAACGACAACGAAGATCTGTACCAACCTCGTGTCAGCGAAGATCAGTTTATAAGATCACATAAATAAATATATCAAATATCTATGCCGAGGTTTATGGAAAGTCGGTCTTTCGAGTGGATATGTTCATTACTACAGAAACATACAGTAATAGAAAGAAATAGTAACTAATCTGGCAATAACCACAACGTTGCTGAGATATTTGCAATGGTGTGGTGGTGAACGCGTTACTCCCCGGAAAGGATAATAGCGCGTTCGTTCCCCACCATAGACACCTGCGGTCCAGAGTTTTGCAAATATCTCAGCAACGTTGTGGTTGTATTTCGCTTAGTAACTTGCCATGAAAATTATAGAAGGCAGAAAACAAAACGTTAAACATTGTAATCTGGCAATAGTTGTTATAATTCTCTCGGTGAAGTCCACTGATCAGTAGTTTGACTTACAATTTACTACTGCTTTATTTCAATCGCTTCGATTATCGTGTAGGCGTGAAAATGCCAAAGTAGAGTTGACATAAAGTGCAGAACACTTCCGAGCACCGACTGCAAGGGATTTGCAATACGGGCCATGGTTACTTACTTACGTACTTGGATGCCTGGATGGCCAATCCTCACTGGATGTGTGGACTCCAGCATAATCTTCATTTTCTTGGAGTTTAGTTGGTTTAGCTATTATGGTTTCCTGGAATACCAAGGTCAGCTTGGGTAAAGTCTGCCTCAGGTCGTCACCACCGTAGGCAGTCGCCTCCTTTGTGGACCAGAGGGAGATTTTCCACCATGACTCTAGTTTGATACCAGAATGGTATAGTTTGATACCTATCACTGGCAAGTTACAAACGGATACTCACGCGGTGTACTAACCAATTGCAAAAAGTTCTAACCCGATTCAAAGACGCGCAGTTAGAAGAAATCAGCATTCAAAACCTGCAAGATGAGATAACGCCTACCGTTATTCACACAGGCCTACAGCAGTTAGAGGAAGGAGTCGCAGCGTTAGAAAACATGACCACAAAGATTCAACACAAACTAGATGAGCTCGCTACCATGTTCGAAAAGACACACCCAACGTTACCGTATATCGAAGAAGAGTTCACACAGTACTCGAGTACAACTGAAAAAGCGATTGGCAATACTTTCGAATACCTTGTACTCCTTCATGCTCGGATCCAGGGCTTCAACGCTCACGCTGAGCTTCTCAACACATCCCACAAACCCTCCACTACGAACAGTGGCAAAGATGAATCCACCGTCACTGCGGTCGTGAAAAATCTGGAGCTACCCACAATCCCTATCCCAACATTCAATGGCGACATATGGGACTGGGACAACTTTTGGGAGCTTTTCATCTTAAATGTACATTCACAAAGACTTTCCGAGCTACAAAAATTCAACTACCTGCTTAGCTCCTTAAAGGGTGAACCTCTACAATCGATGAAGAAGTTCCAACTCACTCGACAAAACTACACAAAAGCCATAGAATTCCTTACTAATAAGTACGGTAATTCTGAAGAACTCATTCGTCAGCTCCTCAGAAAGATGGACAAAATCTCCCTCCACTCATCGCCCATACAAGAGCAACGCAGACTATTGGAAGACATAGAAGCCATCATAGGCCAATTAGTGCAAAAAGGTGAAAATGTCGGCAATCAGTCCACGTAGGTGCTTTCAAAATTTCCGCTCGAAATCCAGCGTAAATAAAGTTTTTCACAAAAAGACCATTTCTCCCGACGAACCGTTCACCATACAGAAGCTTCTAAAATATTTCGAAGAGGTTATAACCAGCGAGGAACTGGTATGTCGCCAGACCACCTCAACACCTCCTCAAGATACAGTTTCCCTCGACAGTAAAGTGAAATATTGGAAGTCGCCGACAACAAAGCCCTTGTGCATGTATTGTAAAGACGGCCATAAGCCCTTCTATTGCAGTAAATACGAAACACCTCAGAGAAGATACCACTACCTTCAAAATAATAAGCTATGCAATATTTGTGCCTCCCCATTCCACAGCAAAGTTCAGTGCAACGGGTCGTTATGTCGTAAGTGCCAGAAACGTCACCACACATCATGCTGTTTTTTTCAACACCAAACGAGAAGACGTTCGTGACACCTACGAAGAATGCGAACGCCTCAAAGACAAAGTTTCGATGAAATCCAGCACAAAACTGCAGTCAACCTTCCTACCCACAGGGAAATTGACTATAATGAACCCAACAACAAAACAGTTAGAGAAAGTTTCCGTCTTACTGGACACGGGAGCTGAGTTACCCTTCACCGGCGAGAATCTTGCACAAAAGCTCTATCTACTGACGATAGAAGGAATTAAACTACGGCTAAACAGGTATGGGACGCGGTCGGCCATCAAATATCATTATACTTGTCCACACATAACGCGGTAACGAAGCATTTCAAACCACCACCAATTTTTCCAGAAGACATAGAGTTTATAGTAAAAAACAACCTCCAAATTGAGATAAGTAAAACCAGGCCCGTGGTCCAACCTACCATTCTACTGGGATGCGACCAACTGTGGACCCTGATGAAAAACGATAAACCGCACATTGAACTACCATCCGGGTTACATCTCTTCCCAACGCGTCTAGGTCATTTATGTACAGGACAACTAAAAAGTCCACCTACGCTACAAAAAGAAAATGATAACGTGTTGTTACAAGCACAACAAAGCAAAGAAGGAAACATATTGCTCGTACAGGATTTCAAAGATGAACTAGACAGATTGGATCAGTACGTGTAGATCGATGAAGGTGAAATGAATAAGTGCGATCAGCATCGGACATTGGAATGTCAAGTTCATACTTGCCTTACTGAAGATTCAGAAACGGATGAACACGAAACAATCAAATGGGAACAATTTTGGACCATCGAATCTGCCGGAACAAAAGAATTCAAGAACTCCGCAAAAATGGAAAAAGCACTGGCAGTTCAGCAAATATGGCAAACCTACAACAAAACTGTTGAGAAAAAATTAGACGGATACTACGTTCGTCTACCTTGGAAAAACGTACAGCTATCATTACCCGATAATAGAGCAATTGCACTCAATAGACTCATAAGTGTTTGGAAATCCCTACAAAACAACAAAGATCTGCTCGATAGGTACAATGGCATATTTGAAGAACAACTCCGCCTGCACATCCTAGAGGAAATCAACGAACAGGAAACCCCACAAAGCTCCCGAGTTCATTACATTCCTCACCAAGCAGTCCTAACTCCCAATAAAAACACCACTAAGACCAGAATAGTTTATGACGCATCAGCACACTATAAGGGATGCCAATCACTCAACGACGTCTTACACAGAGGACCAGTGATCCTCTCACAATTGTTCGGAATTCTCCTTCGCTTTAGAATCGGACGAATCGCGATTACATCAGACATCGAAAAGGCCTTTCTGTAAGTCCGACTCCATGAGGACGATCGCGATGCCACACGATGTCTTTGGCTACATGATCACAGGCTACCACCATTTCCGAACAACATTAAAACCCTACGATTCACCAGAGTGATTTTCGGACTAAACACATCACGATTCCTTTTGGCCGGAACAATACATTTTTATCTTGATCAATACAAAGAGGAAGCAGAATTAGTAACGCAAGTTAAACACAACTTATACGTGGACAACCTTGTCGTAACCCTCGATGACCTCGAAGAAGCATTTCAAAGCTACCTACGCACAAAACAAATATTCAATGACTTTAACATGAATTTACGCGAATTCGCTTCTAATAATATTGACCTAACGGCAAAAATACCCTCCGATGATAAAGCGAACACCAAATTACCGAAAGTACTGGGAATACCACGGAAGACCGACTCTTACTGCCTGCTGATAACATGCATGACAAGAACAAATCAACGTATCACTAAGCGAACGGTGGCTAGCACATTAGCATCAGTATACGACCCTATGGGCTTTCTAACACCTTTACTACATAAAGCAAAGGTATTCCTACGCGTCCTATGGATAGACGAGTATAATTGGGACCATGTCCTACAAGATTCCCGCAAGAACGAATGGATAGCCATATGCACAGAAATGCAAGGTTTCAGGAACCCTCTACCACGTTGTTTTGGAACAAAAAATACAAAATACATTCTAGTAACCTTCGCCGACGCCAGCGTTGAAGATCTGGCCACCAGCATTTATCTACGCTCTGAAAATTGAACCAATCTTCTCATGGCAAAAAGCAAACTGCCCTCGCTAAAATCTACATCAACCGTACCAAAATGGAGCTAGATGCGGTAACTCTAGCTATGCGATTAACCAACGCCGTACTGACTCAACTTCAAAGGACCTTAGAAATTCAAGAAATTTTCATCCTTTTGGACTCGGAGATCTTAGCTGGATAAAGGGCAAACAACTAAAGGACGTTGGATTTAAAATATTCAACAGACTACTGGAAATCGAGGGGATCGTCGGCCATATTACAAAGGAACGGTTATCGTATACTTTTTGGTTACGTTCCATCATGTTATAACGCAGCGGACTGTGCAACCCGTGGCCTTATCCAGGCGGAACTGCTCGACCATTTCTGGTGGGTCGGACCACCCTTTCTCCAAGAATCTCCAGACTATTGGGAAATCATTTGCAGCACTTTCAAGCACAGCGAAGGTTTTTTGGAAAAGTGTCCAAAACTTCACAATAATCCAATATGCCGGATATCCCAGGAATTTCTGCACGAAGAACAACAACTGCTTCTCGTAGAACACAAAAGCTCAGACAAAGAGAACGGTAACAATATTTTCGCCCCATTGGGAAAATACTCTCTGACTAACGTTAAGAGAATCGTAGCAATAATAATACGCTTTATTCAAATCTCAGTTGCCAAGATGAACATCCGTAGACAACACCGTATCAAACTTTCAACACTTCTAAGTGTCACGGACGTTAACCTGGATCCCAACATCTCCGGCGAAGAGATTACTATAGCTGGAAAAGTACTGCTCAGATAACATCAGTTGTCGACAGTAAGCATGTCCATGCTCCTGTCTATGAGTTATCTCAACGTCAAATCGGACAGGGATGGTTTGCTACGATGTTTTTGGACGACCAGGAAATCGCGATTTAAGCAAAGAAGCTAAAAACCCTTTGCTAGTATTACAGAATTCTTGGCTTGCACAAGCATTCATAGGGGATTGCGACAAAAAAGTATGCCCAGGCGTTAACCACGCTATGTCAATCGTACGAGAACTATTCTGGATCTCCAAACTGCGTGCACAAGTAACACGAATCTTCAGAAGATGTGTACTATGTCAACGCTTCAGCAACCTACCATACAAATATCCAGAAGAATGCGACTTACCTAAGCATAGGGTTCTCAAATCACGACCTTTCAAGCACATTGGTCTCGACTATTTTGGTCCAATAACAATTATTCAATCGGACTCTGCTAAAGGTAAATGTTATGGAGCAATAATAACGTGTATGGCGACGAGACTAATACATCTTGACATCGTCTCCGACCTCACAACTACCTCATTCCTTATGTTCCTACGCCGATTCTTCGCCAGACGAGGAACGCCCGCGTCAATTACAAGTGACAACGCTCCAACATTTGTACTAGCGGAAACCATTCTTAATGAAAGTCTCAAATCCATTCAAAACGATCCAGAAGTAAAACGTACAATTGCGAACCATGAAATACAGTGGAAATATATTACTCCATTCGCCCCATGGCAAGGGGGCTTTTACGAAAGACTCATCAAATCAGTAAAACACTCCTTCTACAAAACTCTTGGAACCGCAAAACTCTCAACAGAGCAGTTAACAACAATAATAATAGAAATTGAATCACTTCTCAATACGAGGCCATTGTTATACGTAGAATTGCAATCGGCACGAGAAGAAACGCCTCGACCTATCGATTTCCTTCAAAAAACCTCGAAATTTTTGCGGCACTAGAAGAGATTGCCAACGGAACATGCGATCCCCCTTCCATCAGATGAGAAAGTCTTACTACGAGCAAAAGAACAAGTCATCGAGGGTTTAAATTCATCCTGCAGATTAACAGAAAAATTTTGGACAATTTGGAAATCTCACTACCTAATATCACTGCGGGAAAAGCATCAGAGTACTTCCGCACAAAGAAGCTCGAAATACACGCCTAAAGAGGACAATCTAGTATTAATCAACGACCCGGCGCTACCTCGATATTCGTGGAAAATGGGAAGAATTGAGGAGCTCGTCAAGAACTCACAATGTATCGCACGGGTAGCCGTTATTCTGCTACCAACACATCGTCTGATTCGCCGGCCACTCAATCTTTTAACTCCATTGGAATTAGTTGAACCTTCATTACAGCGAACACAAAGCGACCAGCAACTCGAGACAACTGCTCCACAACCAACTGGACAACACGAATTACCAATGGAAGGAAACAACACAAAAGCAGTCACAGAAGCAACTTCCAGAAAGCGGACAGGTACATATAACTTGCGACGCCAGCAACGAATCGATTGTAACAAACTTCTCAATGCTTCGTTAGCAACAATTCCAAATATTTCACTGATCCTTAACATTCTATCCCTATTAACTCTTCTGGGACAATGCTCAGCAGCAAATTCGAACCGGCATATCAACATCCGCCATATAAAGTGCTTCAAAGGAGGGATACGACTCATTTCACCTGGCAAAACCC